CTGCTGCACTTATATTAAAGTCGCAGGTTCCCATTTCATTTATATTAGTGTCATTTTGGAGCACCTCCCCAAACTACACCAGTGCAAAGGGAGATTCTGCCCATAGGCTCCTTGCTTTTTGGCTAAATTTTTTATTCTCTTTTTTATGGGGGGGGGGGAAGGGAGGCAAATGTAAAGAAAAGTATGTGGTTTTGTTGTGGGGTTTTTTTGAAGATTAAAATAAATCAGGTGGTATCACACTGATAGAAAATTGCTGCCCATGTGTATCTTTACTTGCACCTACAAAGCACAGAGAGAATGTACCATTGAAAGAAAACAAAATAAAGGTTGACTAGTTCTATTATCACTCCCAACCAAAGCCTTGAACCCTGCTTCCTTCAAGCAGCTGATGCACAGATCTGCTATGCAGCTTCAATACAAACTGATCCTGTGACTTCTGAGCAAAGGGGCAAGGTTTCCTTGTAGAAGAAAGACTAAAGCAGTAAGTCTGCAGCAATGCTGAAAGATCTTATTCTGTTTATCAGGCAAGACACTAGTGTGGAAGAATCCTGCACAACAGTCAAAGACAGCTAAGGAAAAAAGGAGGAAAAAATTGCACAATTTACCGACAAGCTCACGTAGTGCTCTCATAATGAATCATTCATATGCTTGATATAATTTTTCCTAGCAATGGGTGAACCAGGTCAGAATTAAGTAAGAAACATTTTCACATTCTCCAAGAGACCCCTTCATCTGAAACTTTTAACTACATCCTATTGCTTTTTAAATAGTGATCCAATGTACAATCCCTGAATTTCTCCTTTCTTACTGCAATAAGAACACTAGAGCACCAAAATGTCATGATAAAACATCTCAAAAGATTTCTCAGTTTTGCAGATCAAAAAGTTTAGATAATTAGCTAAACTTTACAGTGGTTATACAAGGCAGTCTCCTTGACATTTGAAGAGCCCCTGCTCAGTAACTACTCTGAGCAAGTGGGAGTGATAAGACAGGACTGGAAAGCAGAAATGTGATAATGGCTTGCAATAGCTTTGCACAAATCAGTTACGACCTTTCCATAAAACAGATGCAGTGACATTTGCTAGGTTAACTCTACTCTAATGACTCCTGCACAAACAACAAAACAGAGCTTATATAAAACACATCAGAAAGCACTGTACACGTTCACAAAACCAACTCAGGGGGTTATTGGTATTACAAATTGCACCAAAAGAAAAAGAAATCAAGAGTTCTGCTATACACTGTGCAAGTACAGAATGAAGCTGTTTGGTTTACAAACATGACAAGACAGAAAAGCAAGCAGAAGGATGCACTCTCACCTTTGTTTCACAGAGCCCAGGACAGGGAAATTAAGTGGCAAAAGCACCGCACAACAGGGATGGAAGCTGAACCCAGATGACCAACCTCAGTCCAGTGCTTTAGTCATTAGAACATGCTCCTCCTTGGCAATCAGTTTCCATATACTAAGAATTAAACTGGCAGCAGCCAGGCACCATCACGCTCCAAACACAGGATTAAGTGACATGTGCAACTTGCTGAGGCAGCTGACTGTCGCTGGCTTGAAAGTAAACACAGCACCTTACAAATCCCAGTTCCCTCCTTAGCCCTATACCACCTTCTTTGTCTGGCTTTAAAGGGAAATGTTAGGATTACTTCACCTCTCCATTTTTTAAATATGTAGCAGACTGAACCGTATTCAGCAACACTCCTTGTGGGCTCCAGCTGAACTTGTATCTCAGAGGATTGTCAGAGTGCTCTGGAGCTGGTAGACCACCACAGAAAGAAGTGTAGGAGACAACCTGTCAGATTTATCCACAGGAAAAATCAATGAAGAGAAGACAGACCAGGATACAAACAGTACAGAGCTACCCTGCCGAATCTCCATTAGTTCTTAAACTTTCCATTGATGTTATCCCCCACATGGGCCAAATCAGAAGATCTACAGTGGACAGGGAAAAGCAAAAGAATTTCACTGAGCAACAGTGTCAAGCTCTCACACTGCAGGCACTGTCCATAAAGGAGAGGAAACCAAACCACACACTGGGGCAAAGCCATCTTAGTTGATGGTCTCACCAATTGGATTAGTTGGCACCAAATTCCAAGTACCAGAAAAAGTAAGATGTCCAGAGTCCACTGCACATCAGTGACTGGCCAAAAACTGACTATGCTGTTAAAGGAACAACTTAACCAATAAAATCTTGGCAGAACTACGCACTACCTGCCAACCTTACCGTAGCACCAACTTCTTTTGCCTTGTCAATACATTCCATCGCCAACATATGGTCAAGACCAGGATCCAAACCCATTTCGCTGATAACTGTAATACCAGCAGCTTCTACACTAAAAATAACAGAAATGGAGAGCTGTCAGAATATTCACTATTACTGCCCTTTTATTCAGGAAATCTGTCCAACAAAGGCCCAGTGAACTTTTCCCAATACAGTAAATTCTGGGACTTGTCTGCAGCTTGGGGGAAAAAAAACAGAAGCAGATGTTAAAACCTGAACAGTGACGGTTGTCTATGAGTCATTCTAGCCTTGGTTTCTCTTACTTTGCTGCAACATCTTGGGGCTGGTGGAAAAAGAAATTCCTACCAGCTACTCTGTCTCCCACATTCTCCTGGACAGCACTGTAATCCAGGAAGATAGCAATGCAGAGGACAGCACAGAGCTGTCATAATTGCCCTAAACAGCTCCTGCAGGGGAGAGAGATTGAAAGGCCTCCTTTCCCAAATTACAAGCATTTGGGTTTTCTTTTTTTTAACAGTTGCCTACACTCCCAGAGCAGCTCACTAACCACCACAAACTGAGGTGATTTATTTTATTCTCAAAGTCACTTTGTGTTTTGACAAATGAGAAGTGTCCTTCTTTTTTTCTTTTTTGAGAGCATGCTATGACTTCTTGGCACCACAGCAAGGGAAGGAGAGGCCCCTAAACCTCCCTCATTGTCTGCAACACTGGTTCTCTACCTGTCTAGCTTTCTCTGTTCTGTATTTTGTAGAGACACAGCACGTACAAGTCTCATCTCAGTCACTTCAATTCACTTCAGAGTTTCCAGTACCATGACTGAGAGGAGCACCGAGATGAAGCTGCATGCCCTAAACAACTTCCGATCATTTAATAAGTAGGACAACAGAAACATTAGAATAGTTAGAACTGTGACCAATTTGGGACTAATATAGTGGGCCTATCCAAAAGAAGGTGACATGAAGGAGGGTATTACTGTAGATACAATAAGCCAAGAATGAGTTTTTATTAGGGGAAGGTGAAGGCTGACAAATATGTTTGCTGTCACTGGTAGGACAGGACAGCCCAGCTGCTCAGCTTGAGTATCAGCCCAGGTCAAACCTCCTAACAGATTTGAGGGAAGAGGGGAAGGCATATTAACATGGAATAAGATGGGGCATGCAGAAAAGCATGTTCCAGTGTTTAGAGCACTAGTATGACCAGAATGGAGTATGCACTCATTTCTCCATTCTGCCACAGCCCCCACATGCAACTTTGGGGAAAGCTACTTAGTCCTCCATCATGGAAAGGGAAGGAGAAAGAACGCAGAAAATAGTAGTAGTACACAATAAACACTGCAGGTATAACTGACTGAAAAATATTCAGAAAATGCACTGAAGAAGGAACCAACACCAGGGAGATGCTACTCTCACACTTACCTCTCCTGGAGTTCTTTCATAGCTGGTGTTAAGTAGCTGGCTGTTACCAAGTTCACTTTGTTGTCAATACATTTCTTAGCAACCAAGGGATGTGCTGAATATGGCAGCAAACTACAAATGAAGGAGATTTATGCAACATCAAAATCCAACTAGTTACTTATGCTGTCACTGGAAAGACACTCACAAATGTTTTTTGTATGTCTACAAAAGAGCTCAAGTAAATGCAACAGTCATACCTGCCTTGCCCTGAGCAGTTTCACACCTACTTAAGTGAAATGCTACCCTATCAGAAGAACATTGTTGTACGCACTCAGAACAGGGGGCAGGACAATAGGGGAGTCATTCTTTAGACAGCATCTTTCGTCACACTTCTCTTTGTAAAAAACAAACCAGTAACCTCTTTTCAAGGCCACTTTCTAAACAGGCATACTGGAGGTTTAGAAGATGCAAAACTGTAAAACCTGCTTGAGAAAGCTTGCATTACAGTGATCTTGCTGAAGTACTTTGTGAAAAGCAAATGCCTTACATGGAAAGGAAACAAAACTCATGACATCTGTGGCAAAGGGGACAAAATGGCAAGGACCATGAAGTCATTTCCTCCCCTGTTTCAATACCTGGAAAGAGATCTTTCTTAATGGGATATTCAGGAGAAATGATCAGGATGTCAGAATTTTGCCTGCCCTTGCAAACATGCAAATTTCATCCCAGGAATACATATGCTAGTGGACACAGCTGACCCCTCGTACTAAGATGACTGTGCTTGTAATTGGTGAACACTTCTAAAGAGATGCTGCAGTCAAAGCCCCTTTGAAATTCCTGATGCCCCGCAATGTGAGAAGGCAGTGGCCAGTTACAACTGTTTACATACACAAATATGACCTTAGCTCTTGGGCATTAAAAAAAAAAAAAAATCCCAGGTTGATTTAGGTCAATGAACTAGGAGAAAGAAGCAGCATGACTTAGGGTTGAGTCTATCATGTTTTACACCGAATTCTGACCTGATTACAAGGTCATGTTTCTTCACCAAGGAGGACAGCTTTTCCTCATGCTTCATGACATCCATATGAACTGAAGTGATGTTGCTGTATTTTTTCGTCAGTTGTTCAAGTTGCTCCTTCATGACAGATGCTGTTTTAAAATTAAAGCACATCAACTGTTACCTAAAGATGAAGGTAAGTCCAAAGCACCCCCATGTATAATTGTGCTTTGCACACATGTGCTTCTTCCCAAAAATAAACAGGTGCATGGATGTTTTCCTTCACTAACAGTTGAAAAGGAATAAATAAAGCACCTTACTTCCCCTAAAGCAGTCAATTTTATTATCAATTGCTAGTGTCAAGCCATAGCAGCTAAAACTCAAGAAGAAGAATCTACAAAGAGTACTTACTCTCAGAAGTAAAGAACTGCTTACTGCTGTGTAACAAGAACACATTTGTAACCAATTAGCAACTTTGTGGGTGTACTTAAAATTAACAAAAGTTTTAACTGTAGTTTTCCTATCAGCAGACTAGATCAACATAAATTATTTACGCAAAACTAGAAGTCATCTTCATTCTTTTCCACTCTATGCAGAAGTAGGTCTAGAACATGACATAAAGGACGGCTAAACCTATCTTTGTGCAGTAGGACATCCCTGAACCCACTGGCTCACTTGCATCACACACACGTGTCCTCCCAGCATGGCTTTCTACAGCAGCACTGTCTACATTTGCTGGGTAACTGAGCACTCACATGGTGGGAAAACAGATAAACTAAACAGAAAGAAGCACACATTCACATCTAAGTGTTTTTTAGAGAGAGGGGAAAAAAGTCTGCTAAATGGATGCATCTCTTATATGGAAATGTGTCACAAAACATGTCATTAACTAGTTACAAAACCCCAACACTTTTATTATAGGCTAGGCAGGGTTGTGATCCGCCCTAAAAGCATACTCCCATGTCTTTAACTCTGACTCCTCATAAAAACCTGTGGTAAGGTACATTCTAGGTTTTAAAAAACATACACGCTGGAGGTTCAGTCTTTGATATCTCAGATGAACACCTGCCACTCTTTGGTAAGTGTTAAAATATACAGAAAAGGACATTACAAAGTTTTCAAAGAACAAGTGACCAAACCACTGATAGAAGCATAAAATCAGATTTTTTTAGAATCCTTAGAAATGCGCAGTTATCTTGGTTTAGAAGCAGATCAATTAAAGCGTTTGAGGGTGAAGAACGCAAATAACAGCCACACAAGAGGGGCATCTGCATGCGTACACTCAGGCTGGAGAAACGTTTTAGAGAAAGACCACAAAAAGACAGCAAAAGCTGTAGTAAACACTTCTATTGATATAGGAGAGGGCAGATCATCTGAACTAGAAAAATAATCCTACAACACGAGGTCTGGGAAAAATAAAATAAAGATGACGAGCAGCAAAATATAACACCAGCTCCAAGTCAAAAGCACCACTAGGCCATTCAGGCAGACCAGTTTTGGGGGTTTTTTTGGAGATAATTAGTGGAAAAACTGTTAGGGGTAGGGAGTCAAAAGGATCAGACAAATGAAAAACTTGAAAAAGGAGAGAAAGAGAACCAAAGTTAGAGTAACAAGTAGGAACTCAATTACATCCCACATGAAACTATGAAACCAAGCAGCCATTTTTCTTTTCCTTATTTATTTGGTGGACAATCACACAACAGACTTGATCTTCACACTTTGATTTGGGGAGGACATCACCCCTTAGGTCTACCAACCCTTACTTAAATGGGTCATCCAGTGGTTTGCTTGGCAGAACGAGGTGTAGGAGAAAACTTGAATGCCAGAAACCATGCTCGCATCATGGTCCTAGATGTACTGACATTCATAAGCTCATCGATTTGCTGGAGAAGCACTGCACAGCTAGAAAGGTAGGGGGGAAAAAAAGGAATAATTGCCTACCCCAAAAAGTGCCTTTCCTTGCAGGTTTACAACCTCATGTGAAACAGAATAATTAAATAGCATTGAAACAGGCAGAGATTTTATTCTTGCTTTGACTTTCACATGGAAATGCAGAAAAGGCACTCCTGGTGCTTCCCTATTTAATGAAACATTGTGTTGCACTAACTCTTAATAGAAGATTGCAATGGAAAAATTGTATGCCCAATGTGTTTTAAAAGTAAATTGGGTTTGGATTAGCATCATCCTGCTGACAAAC